ACAGCGATGGTTTGGTGGTGGTGGTGGTGGTTCCAACATGGATAAGCATTGGAGTGTTGTAGTGCTCTGTGTTCTAATCTTGATTTCAGTGTTTTCTAACTGTGTAATAACTTTTCCACACATCAGTTTCCTTTGTTCACAATGGCACCTATATCATGGAGTCACTGGGAAGGATTAAAGAAGCTCATATAAATAAAGCTCTCAGCGGTTCTTAGCATTTAGTAAAGAGTGGATTATGGGAATTGTTTCTGAACTTGGATCACTTTCATGGCACCTGTACACTGGAGAGAGGGGAGGCTTTGTAGTAACTTGAACCAGATCTTAGAGGACAAGAAGTTAGCATCTCCTCTGTGAGTGGATAAAGAAATAAAGAAGAGAGAAGGGTTCCCAGTAGCATTGTGGCTAAGAGACGTGAGAACAGAACATAGTTGTGGCAGTCGCAAACAGTTTACCCTAACTAAAGTGTGACATAAAAGCAGGGAGACCAGAGGAGACGAAGCAAGAAAGGTGACCAAGAACAGAATACCAAGAACCTTGTGGCGTTCATGAAGGAGTTAAACCCTGACCTCCCTCCAGTCCTATATCCATGTAGTCTCTGTTAAGCAGTCACATAAACGTTTTTAAGAGCAGCAATGTGAAAAGGGGTAAAGAGGAAGGCAAATCGGCCTCAAATGAACTAGCATCTCTTTAATGTTCCTCCTCAACAATACCACCTTAATTAAACACGTGTCCTGCAGGATTCCTGATTGCCTCGCTCTTGTTCCCCGTTGCTTGTCTCATTCATTAATCTGCTTATTAGTGACCCTGAACTCTTGCATCCCTGTTTTTTTTGTGTGTTCTTTTTTAATATACTGTGCCGTTCCCCTGGGACATAAACTCCAGGACCTGTCCCTGGCCTGCTCGTGTTTGTTTTCTTTGCCCCTTGTGCCTGCCTCTGCTATAACATTTGTAGTATGTGTTAAGTAATCCTTAAGGTAACATTTTTATTATGTCATAAAAAGTGCATGGCAAATATATTATAACTCATGGACTTTGTTTAAAAATGAACGGATAATTTATTGAGTGTGTTACATGAGCCTTGCTCCCCTCCCCACTTGAGCTCAGACCTGCTGCTCATTTAGCCGAGTCTCCTATTGAGTGCTCCCGCCCTGTGACATGCTGGGAAAGCAGACAAGTGGTTGGCTAGAGATGACATCATAGTTTATGTACTCAATAAAAATTTAATTAAGTCATTACAGGAATTGCAGTCATCATTTAACCCTCTGATTTCTTCTGTTTAGTTTATTATTAAACATTCAGTAATACCAGTGACCAAATCCTGATGCTTATAAAATATCTGCATGAATTTTAATGGTTTAAATAAATGGGAAAATATGAGTAACTGATATAAAAGGAACCTTTTCCTTGCAGTGGCGCTGCATGTATGGCGTTATATAAAAGCAAAGCATCATGGAAAGGATGAGTTTTGCAGGAGAAAAGCCTGGCACTGTCTGGGAGAGGATGCTCTTCTGCTGGTTGCATCGTGTGTTCATGAACACGATGCTCCACATAGAACAATCCAGGAGGCAGTGGCAGGACAGGGAACCTGCACATCGGAAAACAAAAGCTTATGCCAAAGAGTAAAATCCAGCAGGCTTTCACTAGAGAACAGCCCCCAGCTCCCCTTGGCTGCTGGGCTGGCTAGAAGCGCTCAGCGGGATGAATCCAGTCGTTCAGGAAGCTGCCTGTCACTCACCCTCACCCGTTGCCTTCAGATCATGTGTCTGCACTGATCAGGCTTCCATGCGCTGCCAGGAAGGGCCCTTTTCACGAGCCAGTCCAGGCAGGGTGATGGTGTCTGAAACCCATTCCTGGCTGTGGCAGCTTGCCATGTCTCAGCTAGAGGGGAAAGGGACAGGCAGCTAGAGGTCCTTGGAGTTAGAAATGTCAGAACCAGAGGGTAGCTGAGCCTTGCTAGTAAGGAGCTCTGTTTCTGCTTCCTGCTTTCTGAGCGATAGCCAGTCAGGATACAGGTGCCTCCCGAGAAAAGTGCTTGTGTGCCCACATGTTGGGTGCCATGCTGAAGAGGTTTGCAAACTGATCCAGAAATGCCCTGCAGGTGGTAAACTAGGCAAAGTAGCAGAATCAGATTGTAATCCTGGCGTTGGCTTTGACCATAACGTGATGTGTCACCTTGGACAAGTATCTTAGTCCTTTTGACTCTCAGTTCACTGTTGCCTTAAGTGTGTTGAAGTAGGTGATCTCTGGGGCCTTCTGAGCTCTCAAGGTTAATGAGTTGGGTGCAGCCATCTCTACTGAGCAGGTTCAGTAGATACCATTTTGTGGCTTGGGCTTTTCTTGCACAGTTAAGAAAACAATTATAGGAGTGGGGGGAGCCCTGCATTGGGTATCCAGAGGTTTTGATGACAGTATCATCACCACATGTCAGAAGGAATGCACTCTAGCTCTGGGTTTTTTCTTCTTTTCTATAATATTTCTTTTTTCCTTCTCTGTTTCCTTCTTTTCTTTTCTTTTTAAGGCAGAATTACAGAGAGAAAGAGATTTCTTCTCTCTACTGGTTCATTCCTTAAATGGCCACAATGACTAGGGCTGGGCCAGGCCAAGGCCAGAAGCCAAGAGCTCCCATATGGGTATTAGGGCCCAAATACTTGGACCATCCTGTACTGCTTTCCCAGGCACATTAGCAGGGAGCTGGGTTGCAAATAGAATAGCTGGGACTTGGACTGGCATCTACGTGGGATACCTGTATCACAGGTGGAAATTTAACCCATTATGCCACAGCACTGGCCCCTGGCTTATTTAATTCTTCCTTTCAATCAGCCCATTCTGGGAAAAAAAAATAGAGTAGAAGTTTGGAGCAATATGTATTTCTGAAATTTCAGAAACTTGGAAGGTAGGCAGATGCAACAACAGCAATCAGCAAAGCCAGTCAGTATCATTGGGTAGAACATTCTATGCATGATACTAGGGCCAAGTATTGGGCGTGCCAAGATTAATCAGACATAGTTCCTTGCTAGTGGATGTTCCTTGTGAAGCTTGCATGCTAGTGAGAGAGATTGTACCACACTGTATTCCTGGCATGTGTGTTGTGGAGTGTGGGGGAACATGCATGGAGAGTAACAATAGATGGATGGTCCACAAGGCCTGGAGTGAAGGTGAGTGGGGGAGGGCGTGGTGTGCACTCCCAGCTACATCCATTCTCACATTTTCCAGCCCTGAGCTTCACAATTCTGTCTTCATTTTTGAAAATTGTCCATGACTATAAAGTATTGGAGCTAGTTTTAGTTTTATATAAACAAACCTGAAGGTATTACTCATATTTCCTTGCATTTGCAGAGTACTCTGCAGTTTACCAAGGCTTTCAGCACAAGTTGTTAAATTAATGAATGAATACCTACTAACTCACTTGCTCTTCGATCAGCTCTGGGTCTAGAGTGTTTAAAAGACAGGGAAATGGACTCGGAGGGATTGACTTGCTCTAGATCACATCCTCTACATATAGCAGAACTATGGCCCTGAACTCAGGTTTTTCGATTCTAAATCCAGATCCTTTCAACTCATTCTGTCCTCCTTCAGGGACCTATTGTGAATAGTCCTTGATTTGTGAATCAAAGTCAAGTTGTCGTCCTGGAGGTGGGAACCTGTTGAAGCCGAAAGAGCATGGGCTTCGGATTTAGACCAACATGGATGCCAATCACAGCTTTCTCGCTAGTTTGCTCTTAGACCCAAGGCAGGTTACTTCACCTGTCTTGAGTCTGTCTGTTGGTGACAGTAATGCATCTGTCCACATGAGTTCCAGTAATTAACAAAGGGAATAATATCCATGAGGTGCTCAGGAGATGGAGAAAGGGTAGCTGTGGTCGTAATCAAGGTCATTAAGTACAAATAGTATTCTCCATATAAAGACTCAGATGACTTTCAGTGATTTCAAAGACTTTGTCAGGTTGAATACTGAGTCCTCACTCTAAATTACACATTAAACTGGACTTGCTGCTGGGACCCCAGAAAACCATAAGGCAGAGGCTCAGCCCTCAATTATGCCAAAGCTCTGCCTTGCTGGAAACAGCGAGTGGCCTGCGCTTCAGCTTGGAAGGCCTCCTTGTCCTTCTCTGAAAGCAGTGTTCCCAGGTTCCCACTGTGTCACTGGCACTGAATCTCTGAATCCATCTCCCAGCATGAACTCTTACACTCCAGAGCTACTTACTTCTTTCCCCTCTTCTCCACCGCTTCAGGGACTCCTTTCTCCTCAGTGTCTCATCGATCTCACCTTCCTTTCTCTTTCCTCCTCATAACTTCCTTCCTTTTGGCCTTTTGCCACAACAAACTCTTTTGAGTGACTCTTAAGACTTTTTTTTTTTAACCTGATCTCAACAAACATTTTCAGTGTTCTGCCTGTTCCTGTGTGTTCACCCTCCTTGGACCTACCCATACATTTTCTTTCTGGTTCCTGAACTTTTGTACACCTTATTCCCTCTTTCTGGAATGCTGCTCACCCTTCTCAGTATCTCCTGTTACTCTCCTTCCTTCAAGCTCTGCTTAGACATCACCTCTTAGGGAGCTCTTCCCTGGCTCCCACAAGCAGAGGTCATTTGTACTGCAAATAGTTTATCAATCAGCGCATTTGGAATAAGGCTCAAAGCAACATATTGTAGTGTAATTATAAAGTGTATGTTTATATTCAGTATATTCTCAGTGGTGGTATGTGCCCCAAGAAACTGTGTCTTATATCTATTTAGTGTTCATGGCATCCTTCTAGCATAGAACCAGACATAGTTGGTGCTTGGCTCATTAAACTATTTTGTGTCATTTGTAATCAGGACTTAAAAGAAGTTGGCAAACTGGGGAGAACCCTGACAGAACAGGGAATCAGCAATGCACAAGCACCTTGTCGGGGGACCCTGTCTCTTACTCTACTCAGAGTCTGATACTCAGAGCCAAAAATAATGCTTTTGTTGGGTTTTCCTTTATTTTATACATTATTCTTACCATTTTTTCTATAGGTTAACCCCTATATCCTGAAGAAGAACATGATCCTGATGACAAATAATTTTTATGCCGCAATCTTGGGATATGATGAGGTAAGATCATTTGTCAAGTCTCAGACCAAGCAATGCCACCACCAAAAGCTATATATATATATATATATATATATATATATATATTAAGGTAGTTATTCCAAAGTCTCCTTTTACTTTTGTACCTATTTAATTTTTTTTAAAGAATCAGATTTGGTTAGGAGCGGGTGGAGACAGAAAGAGAATGAGCTCCTCCATGTGCTGGTTTATTCCCCAGATGCCCATGGTAAGTGCATTGGGAGCTGGGAACTCAGTCCAGGCTTGCAGCAGTTGTGGAGGGACCCAGTTACCTGAGACAGCACCTGCTGCCTTCCCAGCATATGCATTAACAGAAAACTGGGAAGGGGAGTGAGCTGGGACTCAAACCAAGGTAGGATTCAGGCCAAATACCTGCCCCTCCCCATTGCCATCAAAAGCTTTTGATGAGACCTTCTGAGGGAGGCTTCCAGGACTCCCATCACTACCTTCCATTTGACTTAGTATTAACTTCTCCCTCTTTGACCTAGCACCTGGGTTAAATGTTCCCAGCAGTTCGCCTAGTGCTTGAGAACCAACACTACCTAGTATAGTTATATCAGTCAACTAACCAGCCTTTATTGAGTCCTTGCTTGGTGTTTGATGGAGAGATATAGATAAATCAGACTCAGTCTTCTAGAAAAATCACATGCCTTCACTTCAATGGTAAAGCAATATGATTCATTTTTTTTAAAGATTTATTTTTATTATTTATTTATTGGAAAGGCAGATATTCAGAGAGGAGAGACAGAGAGGAAGATCTTCCGTCCGATGATTCACTCCCCAAGTGAGCGCAACGGGCCGATGCTATGCCGATCTGAAGCCAGGAGCCTCTTCCGGGTCTCCCACCCGGGTACAGGTTCCCAAAGCTTTGGGCCGTCCTCGGCTGCTTTCCCAGGCCACAGGCAGGGAGCTGGAAGGGAAGTGGGGCAGCTGGGATAGAACCGGCACCCATATGGGATCCCGGGTGTGCAAGGCAAGGACCTTAACCACTGCGCCACCGCGCCAGGCCCAATATGATTCATTTTTAAGGTTCGTGAAACTGGATATAAGAGGCTGAAACAGAAATGGAGGGGCATTCCTCTCCAAACAAGTCCCTGGCCTTAAAGAAAGCTTTCTCAAAAGTGTTTGTGGTATCCTTCCACATGTTATCTGTACTTAGAGAAAAACACCTCAGTATTTTTCTTCTTTATGGAAATGGGAATTTTGTGATACACACTATTTTCTAAAGTGCTTTTTTCTTTTTAAAAGTTTTTTCTTTTTTTTTTTTTAATCAAAATGGACAATGACAGAAAGAAATCCTGCATGTGCTGGTTTACTCCCCAAATGGCTGCAATGGTCATGGCAGCACAAGGCCAAAACCAGGAGCCCAGAACTTCACCTAGGTTTTCATGTGAATGACAAGGACTTAAACATTCAAGCTTATCGTGTGCTGCTTTCCTAAGCGAATCAGCAGAGAGCTGGATCGGAAGCAGACAAGGCAGGACTCAAACCCATGCTCTGATATAGGATGTTAATGGTGCTAGGTGTAACTTACTGGCTCAGTAACGGTATTTTCATTGAGCCGTAGATCTTGAGTGTCCTCCCATATCTAAACATTCAGATCTGTATTTGTTGATTTGTTAGATGATGTATTTATTTAAGAGAGAGAGAGATCAATCTCCCATCTGCTCGTTCACTCCCCAGATGACAGCAATGGCCAGGACTGGACCGGGTAGAAGCCAGGAGCTTCATCCAGGTCTCCTAAGTGGGTGACAGAAGTTCAGATACTTGGGCCATTACCGGGGAGCTGGATTGGAGGTGGAGCAGCTGGGACACAAATTTACCCATTTCGGATGTTGGCATTGCACATGGCAGTTTTACCTACTACTGTACCACAACTCTGGCTCCAGCTCTTTTTTTTTTTTTTTAAGATGTATTTATTTTTATTGGAAAGTCGGATATACAAAGAGAAGGAGAGACAGAGAGTCACATTAGTCACACTTGATGTGCTCCGTGACTGTGGGTTGGCAGTGCCCCTGTGTTGGCTGTGCAGGTAGAGGACATTTCCACCACGACAGAAGGTTCTTGTTGGCAGTGCTGTTCCACAGCAGCCCTTTCTTACAGTCTTGTTTGGTCTGCTCCTTCCATGGACGCAGCGCTATCAAGTCAGTTGTCATTGAGTGAGACTCTGCCATAATGCCCAGGACATTCTCCCAGCTTGCTCTCAGCCAGTATATACCTCTGCATCTCCATTTCCTGAGGGCTGCTTTCTCTCTATGTGCTTTCTGAGGAAAAGCAGGTAGGAATCCTCCTGGACTGTGAGAAACTTACAGTGCAGTGTAGCTTTGGGCTCCTGAAACTGTTTCTCCTTCTCTGCTTCCTTAATATAAAATTGGTACTTTTTCACTGACTTCCTAGCATTGATTTTTTTTGTTGTTGCCGTTTTTGTAGCACTGCCTCTCTGTGCCAGGTGCAATGTTCTGAATAGAACTGGTCAGACACCCTCCCCAACCTTATCAGTAGATGCTGGTCTAACTCTAATTCCAGTCAACTGGGTAACCCATAAGCCTCAGTGTCCATGGTTTTGACATGGGGATGGTAACGACTGCCCTGCTGGGTACACAGTCATTAAGAATGGGTGCATAAAGGGACCTGACGAACGGAGCAGATAGACCGCCATCCCTGTTAAGGAGCCTGCCTCTTGGTTCTCTTCCAACTGCCCAGGAGCTCCTGATGACTGAGTCGCCCCCGCTGGGCCATCTCACCTGCCCAGAGCAGCTAGGTATGGCTCCCAGCTCTTCCAGTCCCAGACTCTGTTCATTCCCCAAGTCCCTAAGCCACCTGCTCTGTCCCCATTCTTGTTCCTACCTGTGTAGCTAACACATGTAGGTTGCAGCCAGCAGCACTCCAGCATGTGCCCAGGGCAGTGCAGACGTAGGCAAGCTGTTGTGTTAGCAGAAAATTTGGAGAATTGATGATGTGCCTGAACTTGTCTTTGACTCCTAATAACATCTGCCAGAAGATGGCTTTCCTGACTCAGCCATCAGGCCAAGACTCTTTTGAGCTGTGGAATTTTTAGGTGTGTTTAGCAGAGGACATTCAGAGCAGGTAGAATGTTTTCCACCAAACTGTCAGCACTCCACAGAGACGTGGCCATGCCCAGCAGCAGGCCTAGAGCCAAACTGCACATAGCAAGTGCTCTAGAGACCAGCCCACAGTCTAACAGTGGGTACAGGGTCCTAAGTCTTTGAGCAGTGTTTACCAGTTACAGAGCTTTTGATGGCCATTATTAGTTCTCCTCACTGGAGCATCAGGGTTCATATCATTATGTTGATTTATTAATACATGAGACACTGGAGCTCACGGAAGTGCTGATGGCCTTCCTGGAGCCATACAGTCAGCAGGGGATAGAGCTGACAGAAGTTGGCATTTAGACTCAGGTGGACTGGCTCTTCGATCCTGCTGTTTGAACAGTATCCACAGCTGCCTCACACACATACTTTTCTTGTCTTTGATTCAACATGTTACCTTTAACAAAAAACCTTCACATTGTCCTGCTTCTGTAAGTTAAGGATGCTATAGGCAGAGAAAGTATTTTAATGAGAAAGCTGAGACCCAGCTCTGGTGAATTGCCGCTAACACCGAGCTGGGCAGCAGCAGATCAAAGCCTCGATCTGATCCCTGGCCTCCAGGTTCTGCACTCTGCCTTGGCCCCAGGACAGGGCCACTCCTCCACTTTTACCTTGTCACTGTCACTCCTGGGAACAAGGACCACCTCCTCGCCCCTCCCCAGAGGTCCAGGTTAGAAAGCAGCCCAGCCTGGGGCTGAGGATCTCTTTTTACTTGATCTTCCCTGTGCAAGCAGAATTGATTCGTAGCACACATTCGGAATAGTATATTCCTCAACTCTAGAAGAGGCCAGGCCAGCCATGGCCAGCCTGGAGTTGGGTAACTGAAGAAGCAGATACCTGCTTTTTTTCTTTTACAGATTTCTGCCCTTGCATAAAACATAAAGGCACAATCCAGGGCTGCAACTTGGCAGAGGAGGCTAAGCCTCTGCCTGTGGCACTAGCAACTCACATGGGCACCGATTTGAGTCCTGGCTGTTCCCACTTCTGATTCAGCTCCATGTCAATGGCCTGAGAAAGCAGCGGAGGAAGGGCCAAGGGTCTCCACTTAGGAAACCCAGCAAAAGCTCTGGACTCCCAGCTTTGGACCAGCCCAGCTTTGGCTGTTGTCATTTGGAGAATGAAGCATCACATGGAAGATCTCTCTGTTTCTCCTTTTCTCTTTAACTCTGCCTTTCAAATTAAAACAAGCAAACAGCACAATCCAGACACACCCACATGTGTCTTGTATGTGCCCTATGGGTGACAGTGGGAGCACAATCACTCCAGTTTTTCTCCCTGGCCTCTCAAGTGTGCAATAGAGGGAGGTGTTTCTGGGAAGGTCAGTCAGACACAGGTCCCAGCTAGGCATCACCTTCCTCTGGAACCCACGTTCTTGCCATGTGTATTAGATGAAGGGGCTGAGCCAGATGTTCTTCCCAGCTCTGTGGCATAGCTCTTCCATTTTTGTTGCACGGTGTTTGTGATGTCTTCCTGAGCCAGCTCCACAGTGGCCAGCTTGTTCATAGGAGACAAGTCTTTGTGCTGTGTGTTCCAGGGGATCCTTTCAGATGACCGTGGGCTGGCAGCTGCTCTCTGGAGAACCTTCTTCAACCAGAAGTGTGAAGATCCTCGGCAGCTTGAACTGCTGGTGGAGTATGTGAGGAAACAGGTGAGCATTCCTCCCGGAGATCTGTGGATGCTAGACGATCAGGATCATGGAAGGCTGAGGGGACTCTGACCACATCGCCTCAGTAGCAAGGAATGGGAGAGAACGAGAGAGGAACAGTTGATGAATACCCATCCTGCTTTCAGAACCTTGCAGCTACTCATTCTCTGCACATTTTCTTGTGTGCTGCGTGCCAGGTTCCATGCTAAGATGCTGGACCCACAGAGTCCTGGACACTGGTTAGAGCAGCAGCCAGCCACTGTGACTAGGTTCGCTTCCTGTGCCTGATTCCTCATGGGCTTGGGCTCCAGGAAGTGTTCCACAGACATGCTGCAGCCTCTTTGCACTGGCTGTTCTCCACAGCCATGCACAGTCCCCCGCTCACCCCTGTGGATCCCCAGAGCTCCCCAACATCTGAGCTGTAGGAGGTTTCCCAGCAGGGACTGCTTACCTACCCAGCTTTCTTGGAACCGTGGGCACTGAACTCCTTGCTCTCACTGCTCCCAGAGAACTCATACTTCATAGCTGAGTGGGCCAAGTGACAGGGACAGGAGGACCTTCCCAGGATCTCCGGTGAGTCAGCTGCACAGCTGGCCTTGGACCCCAAGCTGGGTGATTCATGTGGCCACCTGAGGCCTCAGCTGCTCCAGACAGCTCAGCAGCTTGGCTGTCCCGTGAGTCACCTTTGCTTTCTGAGCCTAAGTACGAAGGGCCTCACCCCATAGTTATTCCCTTGTTCACCTGTGTCCATGGCCTTCTGATCTCCAGGGTCAGGAAAGGGAAAGCCAGACCCTAGCTCCTCAGGAAAAGACAGGGCCCATTGTACTGGCCAGTTGGCTATGGGAAAAGCCACGTCTTGGGGATCTTGAGGCCTAGGTGGTGGAGAACTCCAGAAGCCAGGACTCTTGTTTGACTGTTTTTCAAATACGCCAGAGCCAGGGGAGAGAGCAGCATGGCAGAAGGGCCCCACCCTCAGAGAGTTCTGAGCCCAGCACAGTTGCCTGGACTCAACCTCAAACGGAAGTAGCAGTTGGCAAGGCACATGCTGTGTCTACTGAGAACCCCATCCAGCTTTTCCATCTGCCAAGGTGGGTTCATGCCAGGGCACCTGTCCACTTTGTGACCGGACACAGCTGGGACCTCTCTGAAGACCCTAAAGGAAAGGGCTACCACCCTAGTGTCCTCATAAGGAGCCCCCTGTAACTCCAGTGAAAATTGGACAATGGGAAAGCAGAGATTGGGGCTCTTAGGAACACCAGAAGCTCTGCTGGGGACAGTTCTGTCATCAAACCTTTGAGCACTGGCTGTGCCAGTTACTTGCTGGATAAATAGAGATTAATAAGGCCCAATCGTGTGCCCTGAGGAGCCAACTCATTATTTGGTGAGGACAGTGAGGCACTCAAGCCGCCCTGGAGCGAATGGGTCTGAGGTGGCCTTTGGGTGGGCCCGGGGCTGTGGAAGGCAGGGCAGGGACAGGCTTGTTGGGACCCAGTTGACAGGGAAGAGGCCCCTGAGCTGACTGAAGTCCGGCACCAGCATGTGCTGCTTGGTGTGTCCAGTGGGCCAAGACCCAATCAAAGAATGTTGAGATTTTTAATCCAGGAGATGGGCAACATTGAGGCGTAGAGGATGAAATGGAGTAGTTGGAAGGAGGTGTAGGTTTTGGAGAAGATGACAATGCAGTTAAGCTTCCTTTCTGGGTTGAGAGCAGGGCATGTGAACATCTAGACCTGAGGTGTATGTGAGAGGCCAGTTTGGAGTTCCAGGGCCAGCAGCTTGAATCCTCGGAAGAGGGGGTGGCCCGAAGCCCAAAGTAAAGACAGTTCCCCTCCCTGCTCCCCCAGTTGGGAGGAGCTCATCTGTTAAACCTGCTGTTAGCTTGTGCTCAGATCACTTCTCACCCTGGGTTTTGCCTCTGCTTGAAGGTGTTTCTCATCCCACTGCTTGCCCCACCCAGAAGTCCCCCGCAGTCAACTTTTTCTCCTGAGACACAGCCCTGCATTTACTCCCTGGCCTCCCCTTCCCCTCCACCACAAGTGGTCCTGCCCTAAGGCTCCCAGCCCGAGCATCCAGCATTGCCCAGGACAGTGACATCCCGGAGGCCCAAGGCGGAAGACAGCCCAGAGTGGACCCAGTTTCTACTCCTGGATGTCAGAACAGCTGTGGGTTTGGGAGCAGGAGGACCCAGGACTTGTGGGCTCTTTTATGGAGGGAACACTGGGGCTATAGCTGAGAGTGGTCAGAAAGTAGCAGGGCGGCCTGGGATCATAGCTGTCTTCATGGCCAATCAAGGGCAGCATGGCGCTGGGACACTGACCAGCTCTGGGGTCAGTGGGGACACACAAGCCAGGACCAAGTCCAAGTGAGAAACGCTGTACATGTGCTGTACCCTATCTCTGCATGAGCCCCTAGTGATTCTTTAGTAGCAGCATTGATGGAAATAGATAGGACATCTTCTGCAAGTCACAAGCCCTGACTTCCTGGTCTGCCAGAGCTCTCCAGGGAGGGCCTGGTGGCTGTGGTGTGTGTGGCAGGCAGTGCCCTAAAACCTCCCAGTGAGCTTCCCTGGAACTTGCCTCTCCAAATCTTAATCAGATAATCTGGGAGATAAGAAGTCCTCCTCTCCCCCTAGTCCAGGAGCTTTAACGGCTGGAAGTGCCCTCCTGTCCCCTCCTGCTTCCCTCTGCTTATGCCATGTCACATTTGTGCTGCCTCTGTGCCTGCCCTTCCCTTGCAGATGCAGTACCTGGACTCCATGAGCGGGGAGGACCTGCTGCTAACAGGAGAGGTGAGCTGGCGCCCTCTAGTGGAGAAGAATCCTCAGAGCATCCTGAAGCCCGTAGCGCCTACCTACAACGACGAGGGCCTTTGACACGCTGCCCCCTCCAGTTGTTCAGCCAGCTGGCGTTGAGGAGCTGCCAGAAGAGAAGTGCCTGTGTGTCCCAGGACCTGCAGAGAGAGGCCTGAACTGACCTGTGTACAGCCCCTGTCGCATACCTGTCCCCATTTATGTTTTCTCTCGTGCTCAGGAGTCTGTTCTGGTAGGATAAAGTGCTGGGAGAATGCCTTGCTTTTCCTTGGGAGAGGCTCTAGGCCAGAGCTCTCCAAGTTCTTGGTAGCAGCTGCATGTGACTGACAATGTTTTCCAAAAGCTGAGGAAAGGATGGGTAGATTCAAAGGGGAACACCCCACTGAGGGCCTGCCGTGGCCTAGTAGCAGTTGGTAACACAGTCAACTCTAATCCGGCAGCGAGCCTCTGTCTACTGGCTCTGGGCTACCGGGCAGAGTTGGACATGAAAAGAAGCAGAGCCTTATCTCTGCCAGCCTCTTTTTTATGTCTTTTAGAAACTTTCTGGGTCTTTTAGAAACTTTTCAAATGGTAAATGCAGCACGCTAACCCTGTGCAGCTTGAGGGGAGAGGTCGGGCGTGCCAGCCTCTAGGACGCAGGAGGCCTCTGAGGGCTGCAGGGCTTGTCCCATCCCACGTCATTTGCAGGAGGCCTCCAGAACAAAGGTCCCTTTGTCATCCCCACGAACTGGGTAAAGAGCGTGCCGCCTTCCCTGTCAGGGCCTCCCCTCCTGGGAGAAGCAGTCCTTGGTCCTGGCTGAGTCGTGTCCCTTCCCAACTCCTGGCACATGTGCTGCAGGGCCAGGATGGTGCAGTGCTTGCGTGCCAGTCCCCTCCTCCCTCCCTCTGGAGTGAGGGTCACGTCTTGGGGGACTTTCTTACACTGAAGAAAGGGGCGGGGAACCATATTGCCCCTCCTTCCCCCGTCCAACTTCCTTCATTTAACTTGCTATAAAATGAGTCATATAAAGAAACTCTATATGGGTGAGGTATGTCCCACTTCTGTGAAAACATTACAAATCATCCCGCCTTCTCTGAGTTTATTTAAGAAGCTTTTGTTGCACGCAGAGCCCTAGAGTGAAGCCCCTGTGTGTGTGAGATAATAACACCTTGTAACTCATTACAGCTGGGCACTATTTACAGAAACCAGAGCTGAGCCAGGCAGGAATTTGCTGATTAATTTATTTTTAATGGAGTGAAGTATACCATGCACCAAAATAAACTTTACTGTGTGTACCTAACTACTCCTGGAATGGATGGAAAAATTAATGGAACAGATTTTGGCTCCCAACTCTGCACATTAATTCATATATAAAAGTTATTTGAGCATTAACCCATTTGCTGCCCAGGGCAGCTCCCTAGCCACAGATTCCAGCCCACAGCCCCTGCCATTCCCCCTCCAAGTCCAGCTTCCTGGCTTGCAGGGGAATCCTGGAACCTTGGATGTGGATGTGATTGTAACAGTCATCAGGTCCGGTCCTGGTCCAGAGCCTCATGCCCCTTCTTATTCGGCCCCCGGGAGTGGGGACCCTTGGTGGATAGCTTCAGCTACACACAGGTGACCCACGCATGCAAGCCCGTCTGCATTGTTCCATCCTCCTCAAACAGGGTAAGTCTGAGTTACACAGTAGCTGTGTGGCAGAGAGCCACACTGGGTCTGCAGTGTTTGCGTGTCCCATAGCCCCGCCCCCTGCCCCCAGCTGTCAGCATCTTCCGCTGACTCTGCTAGGCTCTCCCCATCAAGATACTGTCCATGTCCCTTAAACACTGCCAGGCTCTTAGTGGGCTCCCCCACCTTTGTTCCCATTGCTATTCGGAGGCCAAGATCCTTGAGTTTACTTGGATAGACTCTGTCTCCTGTGCTTGCAGCCTGCATCCCTCCTTTTCTAACTGATTCCGCCGCTAGCTCCTTTCCAGCCCAGGCCCACGGCACATGGTACTGCTCACAGGGACCCGTGAGCTGCAGCCATTCCATGGGGATGTGCGTGTGTGTGTGCTGCTGGCCACTTGTGTTTTTCCAGTGTTCAGCACAAGTGCTGGGCTGATCTACATCAGCGTGGTCTTTGATAAGTGAAGCAACCAATGAATGACTCAATCTCCTGCCATCAGCAACAGCTCAAAAACCAAAGCCCCTTCCTGGGCTCTCCCCACAGTTCAGCAGATGCTGACAGTGAGGCTTAGATCTAAGTACTTTTCCGTGTGTGTGTGTATAAAAATCTATGCATTTGTTGATTTCTTTCTTTTTTATCTTTTTTTTTTAATGATTACATGGTTGATCAGGTTGGGAAGGATCAAGGTTTGGGGAAAATTGGGTGAATTTATTGCTTCCAGATTTGCTGTTTCTTCTTGTTGTTCCTGGGGTAAGAGGAGAAACAAAGGGGAAAACCACTCAGGACTTTCCACACATCCCACTGCCCAGGGACGAGGAGCCGCCACCTCCTGTCAACCCAGAGTCTCAATGTGTACGTATTCCGAGGGTTCTGTCCAGGTAGTTTGGACAGTTCTGGAATGCTGCCAATTTCACTGATCCAAGGATGATGTCACCCTCCCAATGTCCATTGGCTCCAGTCACCAAAATTTTCTGCTGTCATCGTTGGTTTAGGGTAGTTGTCCAGTTAGTTCTGTTCTTCTGCTACAGCACCCAATGTGCTGCCTTATTCTCCTTTTACAACAGGGCCTGTGTCCACTGCTCCGCCTTTTTTTTTGTTAAACAGGGCATGCTCTTGCAGGAATACTTTTCCTTTGACTCTAGTATGGAAATCAAGCCCGGAAGCTCATTCCATAAGCAAGTGTTTTTCTAATGAAAGTTTCACTGTACAAGAAGTGAAGGGTGTGAATTCTTGTCCTCAGGGAGCTTGCCCTTAAAGACAATTATGTCATTTATTGGTGTTCTCTGTACTTCCAGAAAGGGCTAGAACAAACGGACATTGTTATAATAAGACCATAAAATTATTAAAGTTTAAAAGATGTAAGTGTTGGGAGGGAAGAGAGTGAAAATGATGATGTAAGAAAACCTAGGCTGCTAATAACCAACTTTCGTTTTTTGGATAATATATAAAATCCTTTTAAAATATTTATTTTATTTGAAAAGCAGACTTTATAGAAAGAAAAGAAGATCTATCGAAGGTTTTCAATCCGCTGGTTCACTCCCTGAATGCTGCCATGGCCAGAGCTAAACCAGAAGGTTCTTGCAGGTCTCTCACATGGGTACAGGTTTCCAAGGCTTTGGACCATCCTCTGCTGTTCTCTGGGCCACAAGCAGGGAGCTGAATGGGAAGTGGAGCAGCTGGGACACAAACCAGCACAGCACATGGGATGCTGCACCACTGCGCCAGCCCCGTAATGTATAAAATATTTTAAATGCATTGGTCTCATGACAGTTTTGTAAAATAAGAATTCATTGCCTATTTTATTTTTATTTGCACAATAGTTTCTGTTATCCCTTTTCCACATGTGAGGGAACCAACACCCATATTATCGTTAAGAAGGTGCCCAGGATGAGAAAGAGCAAAGATTTCTGCAGCCTTGCCCTTTCTCCACACCACACTGCCACCTTGAGGACAGCAGGGCTTTCTGCAGCTGCATGTAAAACCTTGTCCTGAGCTTCCTGGCAGCCAGACACTTAGGACGTGTATACAGTGTCAATACTGTGTGAGCGGTTATAGGGAGTCATGACAAGAAAACTGTTGGGGCTGACAAGATGGCTCAACTGACTAATCGTCTGCCTGCAAGCGCCAGCATCCCACATAGGCACTGGTTCTGTCCCAGTTGTTCCACTTGTCATCCAGCTCCCTGCTTGTGGCAGCAATGGAGTGTGGCCCAAAGCCTTGGGACCTGCACCGTGTGGGAGACCCAGAAAGAAGCTCCTGGCTTCTGGCTTCAGATCAGCTCAGGTCTAGCCATTGTGGCCATTTGGGGAGTGAACCAGCAGACAGATTTTTCTATCTCCATCTCTCCTGTCTGTACATTTGCCTTTCCACTAAAAATCTTAAAACAAGAAGTCTGTGTTTTTCTACATAGATCATTTTTTTCTTCCTAACATTTTTGAACTGCGGTTGGCTGAACCCGTGGATGCAGAGAGCCAACTGAGTGCTTCCCACTAGAGGAAACACACAGAGGTTAGCATCGTGGACAGTGGATCAGACTGCCATTTGGGACCTGCAACCCATATCTAAGTGCCCGATTCCGAGTCCTGGCTACTGTGCTTCCAGTTTGCGTTCCTGCCCCTCTTATGGCTAACCCAGCTGGAGCTCCTGGCTCCCGGCTTTTGGCCTGGTCCAGCTCTGGCTGTTGGGGGTACCTGGGGAGTGATCCAGATGGTGAAAGAATTGTCTGTCACTCTTAAATAAGCAACCTTTTTTAGAAAAAAGGAAAAAAAAAAACAGATGTTTTTCTTAATTTTCATTTGTTAAAAAAGATTTATTTGGAAAATCAGGTTACAGAGAAAGGAAGAGACACAAAGAGATCTTCCAGCTGCTCATTCACTCCACAGATGGCCACAGCAGCTACACTAGGCTGGGTTCAAGCCAAGAACCAGCAGCTTCATCTGGGTCTCCCATGTAGGTGGCAGAAGCCCAATCACTCGCTCCACCCTCTGCTGCTTTTCCCAGGCCATGAGCAGTGGGCTGGATCGGTAGTGGAGCAGCCAGGACATACACTGGTGCCTGGATAGGATGTTCATGTAACAAGTGGACACAAGTGGCAGCTTTACTCGGTGTTTCACAATGCTGTCAGAGGAAGTTATTACAAATAAACGGCATAACATTGGGCCCCGCTTGGTAGCCTAATGGCTAAAGTCCTCATCTTGCTAGCGCTGGGATCCCCCATGTGGGCACTGGTTCTAAGCCCAGCAGCCCTACTTACCATCCAGCTCCCTGCTTGTGGCCTAGGAAAGCAGTCGAGGATGGCCCAAAGCCTTGGGACCCTGCACCTGTGTGGAATTTTCCCCCTCGTGGGGTTCAAACTCCTGAGATATTTCAGGGAAAGCCTTCCCTGGAACTGATGCCTGACCATACACAGACCCCCCTCTGGCCAGAAAATAGCCACATCTTGTGGGAGAAAGACCCTCTTGGGCTGGGGCTGGGGAGGAAGACCCCCTCAATACCAATCACAGTTCTCTATGAATGGGCCATGGCTGGGTTGCCACTGATTGATGCCAAGTGACCTGTGGTGAAGCCGAGCAGTGCGGTGTCCCCCGAGCGTAGCCACCCTGCTTTGGTACACTGCTGTGTCAAGGGGATATGGACCTGAGATGATCGCAGTGCCCCCGCGGAGGCAGGACTGAGGATTTGAGATAGGAGCCTGTCCGTGTCTACTTGATGGTGTCACTGGATGAGTTCCCAGAGACTCGTGGGGTGAGGAGTACATGGGTGAGGCGTAAGGGCTCAGTGCGATCACAGAAAGACTGAGAGAATGTAGTTAGCAAAGGGTTAAGAACCATATGGTGTCTTTGGAGGTTCGTTGATGAGAAGAAACGGGGAGAAGAGGGCCCAGCCCACTAGCCTGGTGGTTAAAGTCCTCGCCTTGCATCCACCAGGATCCTATATAGTCGTCGGTTCAGGTCCCCAGCTGCTCCACTTCCCTTCCAGGTCCCTACTTGTGGTTTAGGACCCTGCACCAACGTGGAAGATGCCAAAGAAGCTCCTGGCTCCTGGATTCAGATCAGCTCAGCTCCAGTCTTTGTGGTCACTTGGGAAGGGGACCATTGGATGGAAGGTCTGTTTTTCTCTGTCTTTCCTTCTCCTTATAAATCTGACTTTCCAATAAAAACAAATAAATCTTAAAAAAAAAAAAAAAGGAAGAAGAACAGCTGGATAGAAAGAAAAGCTGAGTAGGGGTCTCATGCCACGCATAGTGCCTAGTGCCATGGTGGCTGCATTCCTGCTCTGAAAATAGGGGCCTGGCCTCCCCTGAGACCAGCAGATAGGAAGAGCAATGGGGTGCTGCGGACTTGTGGGGAGAGGCCTCCAGGCTGGGGAAGGAGACAGAGTTCAGTCCAACTGGCTCCCATTTCTCCGGGCCCAGAAGTGGAGCCTGTCAGCCCTTGGGATGAAGTAGGAGGGAAATGGACCCAGCAGATGTGTGAACAGAGAGCAGAATGATGCCCTGGTTCTGCCCACTTCCTGCCTTCAGTGCACTGGGTCCTCCAGGTCAGGCCTCTCGTCTCACCCTTCCCCCAGAACTAAGCATCTATCACAGTTTTTCTATGGCTTCTGAGGTGTATTGACAAGTCTGGGGCGCAGGACCTGCCCCAGCCAAGAGGAGAGTCAGGAGAAGATTCTGCCTTAGGGGACTGATGAACTGTACCGAATGAGGCCCATCCACCTCTGATCAGGGGGTCAAGGGCCTGAGAGACCCCCACCCTCGCTGCACAGCTGGGGATCGGAACCCGCAGACCTGACCCTGACTGTGGGATAGGAGTGGGGACATGGCTCCTCTGAGGTTCCAGAATAGGTCATGGTCTCTAACCCTAAGCACCTGGTTTATAGCTCAGCCTCATCCCATGCTTTGTAATTAGGAGTACGCCTCTCCTACTGAACTGTGAGTTCCTCCAGGGCAGAGATGAACTCTCAGCTCGTCCTCAGGACCCCAGTGCCAGCTGGAGTGCGTAGTTCATCCATTTTGGATGGTGGATCAGTGGGATGGGTAGGGAAAGGCGGCTGCAGCAGTAACATCAAGAGTTGAAGAGGTCTTCCCCTCCCAGCTTCAGAACAGATGGACCCCCCACCAAAAAAAAATTGGCTTTTGTTGCTGGCAAGGCTGAGGAGTGGAGCTTTCTTTGTGGATGAATGGACATCCTGCCCTCCCTTGGCAGCACCCAGAGAAGGCATGCCTTTTGCCGACAGCAGAACCAGAAACCAAAGTCAGGCAGACCTGAGCCCAGTTCCTTCCCTAAGTATCAGTGAGTCCAGCCATTCTTCCCCCCTTGGGGAGAAAGGAGCCTGGGAAGGCCAGCAGTGGAGTTGGGACTTCCCTCTTTGGGAAATGAGGAGTGGGGTACACCCCCTCCCTCACCCCGACCACTACAGGATGGGATGAGCTGAGTGGAGGAGGGCACAGGAGGATGATTCCATCATCTAAATTCGGACACAGTTGTCTTCCCGGAACCGAAGGCCCAATCCTGCATGTGCTGCAGAGGCCCCCCTGCTCACTCTGCAGATGCATGCAGGAGGGAGGACCTGCTTCCTCCCCGCCCTGGTGAGCGAGGGTGGGACCACTCTACAGGTGGAGTC